TATGAGAGAATGACAATAATTTTCTTTCTATTTTTCAATTTATTGAATAAGATAAAGAAATAAATATGTTAAATACATTAGTGACAATCATGTCATTTGATACTCTTAATTATAACACATATATATTAGAAATTAAAAGGAATTTTTGTGAATAACATATATGAGAAAATGACAATGATTTTCTCTAATATTTAAAATAGGATAGATAATCACAAATTATTTTTATGGTAAAGAAAATTTACCAACTGATATTGATGTGTTTATTATTGACGGAGTAGTAGAAAATTCATGATTTGTTAGCTTTTTTCTCGATATCTAATTCTTTTTATGACTATTTTTCAAACATCTTGTTTATTTTAATTGTTTTTCTTTCATTTTTTATTTTTTAACCTTTCAGGTGTTAGGACCGAAAATAAGCAGGTGTAAACGCGGAAGCTAGCATAGCAAACCTCGAAAGATCACGAGTAAGAAGACAACGAGAAATATACCAAAAGACACAAAGATTTAACGTGATTCGGTCAATCGACCTACGTCCACAAAGGAGATGAGCAATCCACTATAAATATGAGAGTACAAAATACAGAGGGAAACAACCTTAACCAAATTCACTCAGAATACATGGTTGGTTCACATAAGTGATAACGTATCAAACTTGTGACCCACAATTTCTCCCCCTAACCAAAACTCTCAAGCCCTTTAAGACTACATTGTGAATGCTGATTATGTAGAAGGAACATGTCTCTATTTATAGAGTCCTAAACTTTTTCCTACTAGAAAAAGTATTAGTCAATCCAAAACCTTTTCCTAAAAGGAAAACCTATTTATAATAAGAAATTTAGGGCAAAATAAAACCCAACATCAGGAGCATCAAACAAGTTTACTGAATATGCACGTATCAAAGAGAAAAAAATTCAACAACATAGCAAATAAATAAAAGAAAATCATGAAAGGGAAGAAGGTATCAAGCACCAGAAAAAGAAAAAGAAAAAGAAAAACAACAAAGCTCCTAGGAAGTAAATCTAGAGATAAAAGAGAAAAAAATCTCAAAATGAAAAAAATTTCATCGATTTCAGCGTAAGATAATAGACATATCATTGACAATAAATATAAGATATGTGGAAATTAAATTAATTTTATGCAATAGTTAATCTAATATCCTATTTAGTATGATATTTCTATTATATAGAAGAGCGAAGTGATAAGACGATCAAGGGTAAAAATGCAATTTCATTCCAACAAAAATATATTAAGAAAAATAGTAAATAATTCTAAAAATATCTTTTTATAAATAAAATGAATAATCATTAAGGGTAAAAATGTAATTTCAAGCTAATAGAAATCTACCAAGAATGATAACAAGAAAATTAAATAATTCTAGAAACATCTTTAGTTATTGTTTATTTGGTTATTACTTTTTTTTTTTGCGAGTTATTGTAATATCTATTCATTACTCTATTTTATTATCACTTTTTTAATCTAACTCTTAATATTTTTTCTACTCATTATGCTTATAAAAAATGCCTACTTTAATATAAAAATACATTATGAATTAATTATTTTTACCTTTATTTGACTAATTAATATACTTGAAAATAAATAAGTGTGATAAAATTAATAATATATATTAGATTGAAATAAAGAAAAAGTTGTTAAAAGATAACTTTACAAAAAAAAATGAATAGGATGATATATTTGTATTTTAAGACGATCACGAATGAAAACATAATTTCATTATAACAAAAATCTATTAAGAAAAATAGCAAAAACAATGAATAATTCTAGAAACATCTTTCTATATATGAAGCGAATGATGATCAAAGGTGAAAATATAACTTCACGCAAACAAAAATTTATCAAGAATGATAACAAGAAAACTAAATGGTTCTAGAAATATTCTTAGTTATTATGATTATCATTAACTCATGTTGTTATTACTTCACTTTTTTATGACTTATTGTGATATTTACTCATTACTTTATTTTACTATCACTTTCATTTAATTATTGATATTTATTATATTCATTATAGTTACTACAAATGTCAATTTTAATATAAAAATTCATTATTTAAAATATATAGTTAATTACATTTAATTTTATTTTTGCTCTAATTAATACACCTAAAAGCAAATAATTAAATGTAATAAACTAATAATATATATTAGATTGAAATTAAAGAATAAATAAAATTAGTTGTGTTATTAAAAAATAATATTTTAAGAAATGTCAAAAAGTAACTGTACAAATAAAATAAATAGGATTGTATAGCTCTGCATTAAAATATATAATCAAATTTTTACTTTTATTTGTTTTGAAACATATTAACCTGAAGAGTGAACTAACGTAAGTTTGATTTAAATTTAAAGTTGACGAGTCAAAATTTGATATTTTTCTATTATATAAAAAGTATGAAGTTGAGGATAATCAAGGATAATATTGTTATTTCATATATATTTCATTTTAAAATTCTATAAATTCTATTTTTAAATTTGTCAAAATATTTTTTCAAGTGACTAAATTTCCTGCATAAATTACATGATTATTCTAGAAACTATAAATTATAAGATTTTTTTAGAACTAAGTCCATGACTCAAGTAAATAGACACTAACACATTCTTCATTTCATTCACTCCTCAATTCTCTCCCTTCTCATGTCATATACCAATAAATTTGTCACCCCCTTTATTTGTAATTTGCAACCTAAATAATACATGTTTCGATATAGATTTCTTATTAGGAAGATCAATAACACAATTCTTTTTCAATATTAAGATTTTTATTTTTAATTAGTTCCCTACATGATGACTCCGCTTTTGTAAAACAATTATAAGATAAAAGTAAAATTCACTATTTCTTAGTATGAACACGTCATTTTGAGACTTACACACATAACAAATTTTGAACAAAATTCAATTGATCCATATTATTCAAACATTCTTATGAATATGATAATGAACCAGATAACATGTTAAATCCAATATCAATTACAATTTCAATTCTCAAAAGGTCTAATTCATAATGAATGTATCCAGTGAGCAAGCTCTTCAAGAATATAATTTTCAAAAATTTCAGAACATGTTATGACCTTTCCTTTTGTTCTCTTTAGACTTTTAAATTTCATGGCGTTGCTTTTATTTTTGGATTGCAAAATTATTTTTTGAAGCATCTATTTTATTTGATTTCTCTTTATGTATAATTCCAAAACATATATGTCATTATCTAATTAATTGAGAAACATATATTTGTTTATTACTATTATTTTATATCAGTTAAAATCATTTTAAGCAAGTTATGTAAAGTATTGTTTTAACTACCTTATGTTAAATTACTGCAGTATATATGATGTTAACTTTTGTTGATATTTTCAAACTCTCATTATTTGAGATAAAACATTCATCCATCAGGTATATAAATTAGTTTGAAAAAAATTTATTTCCTTACTATACTAGATTGTTCTCCTAATTTTAATGAATATAAAGACAAAATGTAAAGTTATACTTTTTTTAATCCTTTTATCATTTTGTAAAGAATGAGAAGATTCATTTTAATTTTTTTTATCAAGTAGGTCATTATTTTTGTTTGTTAAACACCTATAAAATAAATTTATAAGTGTACTCAAAATTAATAAACAGATGGATCAGTATGAAAATTTTTAATATATTGAGACTCATAATTTTAATCTATTTTCTTGAATGATTTTCAAATAAAATAGAAAAAGAATATCATTAAATTAATTATTTAATTCGAATGACATGATGTCAAAATAATCACGGGAACATCTGATATTTTATTATTATTACTTATCATGTTTATTTGAAAATGTCAAAAATAATTTTTTATATTTGAATTTTTTAGAAAAAATTAAATTTTTGATGTATCCTTAGATTGTAAAAATAATTTCTGACCTTTATTAACTTTGTGCCCTCCTTGACCCCTCTCTAAAGGAGTATAACTTGAATTCTTGACTATTGGGTATAGTACTCGTAAGTAATTTTTTCTCATTGTCCCTTGATTTGATCGAACATGTTGTCTTGCTTTATCTCTCTCTCACGCATGTTCTCTATAGTAATTTATTAAATGTGGCTATGAATTTTTTATTGGTTTAAAATTTTCTATTTCTAAATGTTTAATCTCTTTTTTGGAATAGAATCAACTCTTTGAAAAGTACAAAGCAACAAAATATTTTGGCCATGGACAATATTTTTCATATCGCTATGTGATTTATGTGTTCATTGTGAAAACTTTGAAGTACCAACACTGGTAGAAAAGTGATATGTTGTGTTAATCATGTAGCATATGATGTCGGATAGTGTAATGAGTCAATGACACATGCTTGGATTTGATTTTGCAAGTGTATTAAAGAAAGTAATAGGTAAGTGCGATATATATGATCGTATGTAGGGTGTAAAAAGAATATGAAAGATCGACCGAACCAATCAAACAGAATGGTGTCGGACCGGTTTATTAAATAAATATTTAATAAAATTGTGAATTATTGTTTAAGTATATACCGTGCCAAACAAGTAGGATGGCTTTTTCATTTTGTAAAAGAAATCAATTTTTTTTGAATCGAACAATCTTACATGTGTGTCAATATATTTATATATAAATATAAATAATATTGGAGCTAATTCGTGAATTATACTGTCTATTTGATTCTTCGATTATTTTTTAAATAATAGTAAATTACTTTCATGTATGAATGATATTGAGTTTGAATTAAAGTTAATTGGGAATGAACATGATATTGTATTAAAACCTTAATTTGTTAATTTGATTTTTAAAAATGATGTAGACTTATTATGTCAATTTTTTTCGTTTTCTCTGATGTCAAACTTAATATGAAGTTATTATTTCTTTTCTTAATTATTTTGTTTAAACTTAATATGAAAATATTATTCTACTTTAATTTATAAAAAAGAGTTCATTGTAAATTAGACAAGTTTAAATGTTGATAATAAGAATAAAAATAAGTGTGTTTTACCCAAAAAAATAAAATAAAATCTGGTTTGATGTGCATAATTTGTTATCCCAAAAATCCTTTTGAGTTGAGAAGGGAATGGCGAGTCACCTTCCAAGTTCATCTCTTTGCGTATGGAGTGATGTGAGGTTCCTAAAAAGGAAGGTGAATCTAAGGCCAATTGTAAGGAACAGCCATGGAAAACCATTCCCAGCTGAGGTATCGAGAACCATTCTGGAATTATCTTCAGTTGGCACTTTATCCACACCGACCCAAGATGGTTGGCCTTTAGGTATTGCTGTACCTTTCGCTGTTGACCCTCATGGAACTCCTCTACTCTTTCTCAATCACTCAACTTCCAATTTCGCTCTCAATTCCAAGTCTAGCTTCCTTGTTCAGGTCTCTCTCTCGATATCTCTCTCTCTTCTTTTGTGTTTTTCTTCTTCTTCTCCTCTAACCCTTGATCTATTTACTCAGCTACAACAATATGGCTTGCGGACTCCACAGTGCACCATACAGGGGACGCTACAAAAACCCACAGCTTTGAAGGTATCCCCTTTTTTACTTCTCAAATTAATTACTAATCTCCTTCTCCATTCATGATACTAAACTTTCTTCTTTTAGATGCTTCATTCTCTTTGGGAAAATAGATTTGGCCATCAAGTAGATGACGATCGCTTATTTTTGCTTTCTGTCGAACGGGTACTTCAGATGGATGATTTTGCAGAGGTTTGTAGTGTCTATTCTCCATCAAGAATGCTTTATCTCATTCGCCACTTATATTTTATCTCCATATACTTTCAGGATGGAATTTGGGTCACTTCAGAAGAATATAAGTCAGCGAACCCTGATCCTCTTCGAGACTTCGCAGAAAGAATGATTGACGAAATAAATACTAACAATAGGGAAGACATCTTACGGTTTTGCAACATCTATCTAGATTTGGATTTCCAGGTATCTAATGAACCTAACATTATGATTTTCTCTTATTCCCAATATAGTTTTAAATTTTCATTTTTGTTTTGTTTTTTTAGTATAATAAGTCTAGGTGAAAAAAAAAATCTGCTTCAAGGAGGGTAGAGGCAACCCATTATCCATCAAAATTTGAGGTTGGAAACAACAAATAATTTGAGTTATTCAATGTTCGTTCGAAATACCCTTTTGACTTTTTTTTTGTTAAGAGAAGAACAAATTATGGGACCAAGTTTTGTTGAATTGAGCAGAAAGATATTTATCATAGGTAGACAATGTTTTGGAATAACTGAGAAAGTAAAGCAGGACAACATTTTTGTGACAGTGAAATATTTAATAAACCCATGATCCTGAAAATAATTTTAGGTTAAGGGCATATAGACCATCATTGAACGATAGAGATAAATAATTATCAGAGTTCCAAGAGTGATATATATACAAAGAACTTTTGGTAAATCTAACCACTGGTCATACATGATCAAACTTCTCAGAGCTTAGGCTTTGGGTTATGAAATCGGATTAGCAGTGGCATCGTGATGGCCCTAGGTTCACATTAGCAGTTGATAATGTGCCTTTTTACCTGGCTCAAGAGCTCTGTTTGATCGTTTTCCCACTCTCTTTTCTAGTTTGATAGGTACAATTTGGTCATTTTCTCCATGTTCCATTTTCACCAAATAAAAGCTCTCTTAAGTTTAGATTGACATGCATGGTTTTTATGACCTAGTAGTCTGGTAGAATGCGTGATTGTTTGCATATTTGTTATGTGCTCTGGGTCAGAGAAAATGGTTTGGGCATGTGAAGAGGAGGTGTGCGGATGTGCCAATAAGGAGGTGTGAGAAGTGGGCTTTAGTAGGAGTGAAGTGCGGTAGAGGTAGGTCAAAGGAGAATTGGGGGAGGTGATTAGATAAGGTATGATTCAATTTCAGCTTTTTGGGTGTTGTCACCTTTAGATGGGAAAGGCAGGAAGCTAGCCCTATCTCCTCTCAGCCTTGACAGTAGTAGTTTTTAGTAATCGGTTAGTTTTTTGTTTCTTCAAGGTGTTTTACTATGTTTTGCTTCATTTTCTTTGTATGTTAATATTTTTTTGCAACGATGGTCGAACATCTTCTCTTTTGAGCGGAGGGTCTATCAGAAACATCAAAGAGCATGTTGTTGTTGGTTGTTGTTTTGATCCAGGTCAAGGAATGGTAATGTTTTGCTAGTCTCAAGAAGTATGTTTTTTGTTGCAGGTTTGCGATGGGAAGATGCTTTGGGTTGATAGATTAGGTTTTGATGTCCGGTTCAGTTCTCCTCTGAATGATGTATTTGAAGCTCGTATCCCTTTTCCGAGAGAAGTTACAGATGAGAAGGGTGCAAAATCATCTTTCAACTGCATGTCTCAATTTGCTTGGGAAGTAGAAAAGAATTTCCATGCAGCAGATTTTGAAAAGGTGAAACAAGTGAAAAAGATGGAGCACAGAGGAGTGTGAAGAATCCTGATGGTTGTTATTACAATGTGGTGGAACATGTTCCTGACTCCATTGCTTTTGTTGGTGTTGAAAGACATATTTGGTTTCTTTCAGTAGCGTGGAAAATCAAAAGAGACTATCGTTTTGGTGTGTGTTGTTTTGCTTCCAACCATAAAATCCATAAGAGTAGTTGTATGTCATCTAACCAATTTTTCCTTTAATTCCGGATGACCAGAATCAAGATTATTATTGATGTCCGATTAATTGTTTTTATATACTCTATTAAATCAAAGGACAAATCATTGAGCCAAATGGCTATCACTTGCTTGAGGAAATTAATCTTAGTAGAAAGCCTTCATTATCCCACCATAACTTTATTATTATTAGTAGTAGTATAGTATAATAAATGATGATGATGAGATTAAATAATCTGAAACCAGCGCTTCTATAAAAAATATTTGCTCATACCCACCCACCCTCCCTCTAACATTATTTTAAAATTTAATATTGATAATTGAAAGTAGTATGAATATAAAATATAAAATTGTTGTTGTGAAGTGGAGTGGAGTAGTATTATGATTGAGAGTATATATACATGATCAAAAGGAATCACGTTTTTACCTAACCTCCTCCTGTTGGTAAATCACAAGGATGGATATCTTACCTTCTCCCTCACTAATTAATGCTCATGAATATCAGGTACTATTACTTTTACTTTTCTATTCTACATTGCTGATGCCGTCGTAATAGCAACATATCTGCGACCAACGCTCCTACTCCCACATATAATAACAGCAGGTCAGTTACATGTTTACTCCTCCAATCAACTTTTCCCACAAATAAAATTACTAACTCTTGTTCGGTAAAAGAATATATAGATATTTGTCATGTACTACGTACACCTGTCAATAACATATACAAATTACTTTATACATCATGCAACATGCTTTCTAATCTTTTTTGGGGCTTCTCTTCCTAATAAATAATCAGCATTTATCAAATCTAGCTAATGGGCACTAGTCTATACATTTTTTTTCCTTCCAATTCAGAACTATTCTCGTACTATACATATTATATACAACCAAGTAGTGCAGCTGAATTATGCAATGCATCGCTGATATAACTTGATGAAGACCTTAGCCACAGGGGTCTTTGGAACTGGGATCAATTTTCCCGCAGCAGCAAGAGGCCAACTGTAACGACAATAAACAAAGATGTTGAGATGTAGATGAGATTATCGCTAGTCAACTCCTTCCTTTCTACCATACCTGATAATACCAATGACAAGTGAAACCATCCATAATTTCCAACTCAGTCCAACCGTCGACGTAAATTTTCCAAGTAACTCAATGATAATGATCTGTTCAGTTGTATGGAGGGATATGAGAGTCAGTCACCAAGAATTCTAATCAGAATTTTATCCATTGCTCAAAAATCTATCACCTGAAGTATAAAAGTAGTTCCCACAACCCCAGTAAAGAGGGGATTTTTGGTCACGCCAGTAAAGACATTCATTTCATCTGGCTTTCGAGCATTAACCTCATTGAATATCTGTATTTCCATTTAAATTAGTTACATATCTGAGGCTTCATGTGTAATCTAGCCTTGAATAAGACAAGCGAACAAAGAACATTATCCATACAGAGAATAACCATTTAAAGAAATTACACACACATTTCTTTCTCCTAATTTGCACCAAGAATGCAAAAAGCTTACTTGGCAGAAAACAAATGCATTGAAAATTAAGGTATTCTTCACCATATTAGCATGTTTTGGGTCATCATTCTCTAAGCTGAGAATGCTCTTGCCCTGGAAATTGAGTAGAAGAAGGATTCCGATTTGGTAGAGAGCCTGCAGAAGAGAAAAATAAAGAATTTGTTTATACAAAATGTGGGCTATTAAACTTTCTGTTTTTACGGTGAACATAGCAAAGATAGAATGAAACAACAAATATCCTATATCAGTAAGGCCACAGACCTGAATAAGCAAGTTCCTCCACATGATATTTGTCACCAGAGGTTCCCTAAGTTTCACAAAAAATTATTAAGTGTCAAAGCATGTAAAAATCCTGAAAAAGATCTTGAGTCACAGTAAAATAAGCAAACCAACACTCCCCAATTATTTTTTTTTTAAGAAAACCAAGTGCACTGATAACTAGAAATTCACAATTCTAAATGTTAAAAAAGTCTCACATTGGTGGTTAATGAGACGGGCGGACTCCTTATAAGGCTTGGACAATCCTATTCACTTTGAGCTAGCTTTTGGGGTGTGAGTTAGACCTAAACCCTACTTTAACACCGTATCAGAGCCATTGGGCGTGAGGTGGGGTGTTAAAGAATGTCAAAAGTCCCATCATCGGTGGTTAATGAGATGGATGGACTCATTATAACGCATGTACAATCCTCCTCCCTTTGAGCTTGCTTTTGGGGTGTGAGTTAGGGCTAAGACCCAATTTAACATTAAAGAACCTCGAGTTTCCCATAGAAAGCATGTCTGAATAATTTTTCTTCACAAGAATTATATACTGAGCCGTGAACTAGAAAAACCATGAAATATTTAGGAAGGTGCAAGCCAAGTTTATTTTAGATAAAGAATCTGTCCCATGATGAATTTTATTCCTGCAAGTGAGGGGTTCTGAGATTAAATAAACAACACAGAAGCTAACATCTTGATGCACCTTTTGGAAAGAAGTGGATAAAAGTAGGTGCATAATATTTACACTAGGAGGGCTCTCATATTTAGTTGAACCATCATACGCGGAAGATGCCTATGAAAGACTTTGAATATCTCACATTCTGTGAAATGGAAAAAGATGCATCTAGCATAGAGGTAGTTTCATCACAATAATATAGAACACTTCAAGCTTACATTCACAGAAATTACAATAGATGTTCTGATCATGCACCATTTAGACCTCAAACTAGCAGGCTCTGTGGCATAATTCATTTTATGACAACTGCAAATCATAAAAAAAGTATCAAATATAAGGAGATAGAATGGTACATCCGAGTTGCTCACCTTCGACCAACAGGAGGTCTATGCATAAGATGGTCAGTTGGTGGTTCAGTAGCCAAAGCTAGTGCTCCCAGAGTATCCATAATGAGATTGACCCAAAGAAGCTGCAATAAGAGTATCCTTGAGCAAAACGAAAAAAGAAGAAGACTTCCAGCAAATAACTATATGTAAGTCCTTATTACCCACTGAATGATAAACATAGCACACGTATGTACTATATATCATTCTCAAAAAATATATACATACATATACATATTTATACCTATGAAATTACAATTTTATATACCCCTGCATCCGTGTAGGTCAAAAGATAGATAGACAGATAGAGAGAGAACCTGCACTGTGTTTAGAGGAACATCACCAGAAGAAACTGCTGCCACAACATTGATTACAAGAGCTGCGACATTAACAGTGAGCTGGAACTGAATGAATTTCTGAATATTTGCATAAACAGAACGACCCCAGCGTACAACCTACATTGAGATAAATTAAGTCAAGGACCACGGCTTTTCATTACGCTAGTACACTAAGACACCACAAACTTACACCAGCTGATACAACACAGATATGGATTAAAAAGACACATCATCTACTTCCTCGGTGTTTTGCTGCTTTCTCCAAGTTGTTAAATAAACATGGCTCAAAGGATGGGGTGCCAGTCCAAGAAGAATAATATCCACTAGGAAATTTGACGATGAGAAGGCAAAGGGATGCAATAATAAGATAAACAAGAAGCTTGCACTGCTTGTTTCTCGTAATCTGACTCCTCTTTTTTGCCCTTGCACTCCCTCTGTCACTTCATCGTTTAACAAAATATCTAAAAGATCTTTGATTTTCATGTTGACTTCCAAAATTTGATAAGCTAGTGTTACATTGTGTTTGCAAATCAATACAAGTTTAGAGTATATTCTAATGCCTACTGGTTAAAAGTGCTCAACATCTACATGCTTAATGCAAAATAATAAATTATGATCTCAGAATAAGTGGTCAAATTTTTAGAAGCACTATCTGTATTTCCAAGTCACCTTCACAAATTCAGCCAAATTACCTTTCAAGATCAAAATAAAAAATACAGAACATGAATACATGTCTGAGTTTTCATGTGCTTTTGACCTTCAAAACCCACCCTTCATAGTTCAAATAAATGTTCTCATCAGATTTCTGAAGTTCTGATGAATATGCTTATATTAACAGTGAAAAGACATACAAAAGCATTCACAACATCACATGTAGTTGAGGTGTAATGAAAGTTCAGACTAAGGATAATAAGTGATTTTTTTCCGAAATATTGGTCATTTTGATAGTAAAGGAGTTAGTAGATACAGAGTAACTAATCTCAGAATGACATTTTACATATCTCAGAGGCATTATAAGTTGGTACAATTCACCCTCTTTCACAGCTTTGTAAAAACATATCTATGAGTTTTTGACCTCAAAGCCCACCTCCATAGGCCCACAAATGTTCTCATCAGAATACTGAAGTTTATGATAAATGTGCAGTATTTTAATGATGAAAAGATTTAATAAGCATTTCTGGCATTGTACATAGTTGAGACCTATTATCACAAAAAGTAATTTTTAAAAATCAAACTAAACATTTTCTTCAAACACCAAAAGAGATTTTCCAACTCACCTTCACTACTGAAGCAAAATTATCATCCAAGATAATGATGTCAGAGCTTTCTTTTGCGACTTCTGTTCCTTGGATGCCCATGGAAAGGCCTATGTCGGCCTAAATATTGAAAGACAATGAAATTAACTAAACACAGAAAAATCACTAGACAATACAAAAATTAACATTGAAGAATTGCAGCTAATAAAGCATTCAAATAGAATAATGTAATTAGGCACAAAAAACTGCTATTCCAGACCATATACAGCACCTAAACTTTGGCAATATTATTAAACCCTGAACATCAAGTCATGGGTACATTACTTACACAGGAGAATAATTTATATTTGAGGTCTATCACAATACTCTGACGCAGATAAGACAGTGGTCCCATTGGAGATATGTAAGACTCCATAAATTTGAACCTTTCTACCAGGTCTAATACGGATTAAGAATCTCAAAAATCCCACAAAAACTGGAATGTGGAGACCACCTGAGGATTTTACAGACAAAGTAATTCAATGGACTAGGACGGTGTGGAAGCACGGTGAGCAAAGGGACAAAGGTCCAAAATGATTAAAGATTTTATAGTGCGACAATGACAACTAGAAATAATGCTTTTGTGTTACAAAGGAGGCTACAGACTAGTACCATATCAAATGGACATAATAATAAGTATAGGAAACGTCTCAGAAGTGATTTAAGGTCTAAGGAGAGCTAGCATAAAGTTGAAATTGGAAGCTATAGCACGAACTAAGTTTTTGATGAGCTCGCACAAGGTCCAACTTCAAACAAACATATCTACCCGCATGTAGACTTTTATGCACAAACCGTTCATCAATGAGCTCTATACAAAAATATATGTACGTTTTACTGAAGTGCAATCGAAATGGCTGGGGACACCACATGGCCCGCGTTGCGTTAAGACAAACTTCAGGAAGTCGATTCTTTTTCATCCATGCTGGCACCCCGCATCGTGGTAGGCTAAAAATATGCTTGTTTCTTCTATTTTTTGGTCTACAAAGTGAGAGAAAGAGGGGCATATGTTTGGACGATTTTGGAGCTTCTCTCTAGTTTTTCTCCCCCAAAGACCTCCTACATCAAGGTAAGATATTCCTTATCTAATTTCCTCACTTACTACATGATTAACTCATAGATTCTCATGCAGATTTTAGAACACTCAAGTTGCTTCCCAAGAATTCAAGTGAAGGATTTTGCAAGGGTTTCTTTCTAAAGGTAATACTTCACCCTCAAACTCTCATGCATTAATAATTGAGGATAACGTGAGTTTGTTTTAGTGTTGTAACTTATGGTTGTGGAATGGTGATGAGAAGCCATAAGTTTGTGGCTTTAGTTGATGAAAATGGTAGAGAATGGAAGAATTATTGCAGGTGAAATTGTGGGATGAGAGCGAATTTTTGGACTCATTGGCAATGAAGGAAGTTGTTATGTATGTTGTGAGAAATATAAAAAAAGAATGTTATTGAATTGTTGTTGTGTCTACATTGTTACATTGAGACCCTATTTATAGACCCTAGAATACAATCCTTTATCAAGTAGGATACTATTAAGTATTCCTATTCATATTCTAATAGGATTGTATAAACATATTCCTATTCTAATAGGATTGTATAAATCTATTCCTATTCTAATAGGATTGTATAAACCTATTCCTGTTTTAATAGGATTATATAAACTTATTCCTATTCTAACATATCTAAATTCGGTTGTAGTGTCATTTTTTTGACAAGGGGAAGGGTTGTTGGATGAAAAAACACCATTAGTGGAGGTTGTAGAGATTCATACTCAGTGCCTAGGCACCCTCCAAATGGGATATCACATCTTTGAGAGGGAGGCAAGAAAAAAGTATTAGGAAAAGATAAAACGAAAGACGAAGGAGAGAAGATCTCCATCATGCATCCTTCAACATCCTATGTGTTCCTTTTCTTTACTTGTTAAGGTTTAGCAAAGACAATGCTAATTCTTTGATATTCGGCAGTAGATTTAGTTAAGTAAGAAGCTTAGATATAAAAGGTGCTTAATATTTGATGGTTTTAAAAATATTTTTATCTTTGTTCCTCGTTAAATTATGCATATTTTATGATATTGATGTATTCCTCATGTTTAGTGAAGTTGAAATACTTGCCCAATTGTATTTGAAGGGACAACATCTAACCGGGTTTGGATGAAAGAAGTAGAATGCAACGCTACTCAGGAAATCAGAAAATGACAAATTTAAATAAACTCCTAGCTTTTTTTTCTTCTTTTTTTGTGGATAAAGTGCTAATATTAAGAGGAGCTTACTAGATCATCCTGCATCTTGGACAAAACTAGATTAGTCACTAAAGGGGCATTCAAATGTAGGAAATAGAAGGCAGTCAATGCTACACATAATAGCAATAGAACATTAGGGAGTTCCACCAATTTATGAGATCGGTTCCATATGACCAAGTCTACACTGAAGCCATCCTTAATGATTAGAAAAGCTTAAAGTACGAAATATAACAAAAACAATGATTATAACTCAGGCAATGAGTATTTTGAAACACTCGTTATTAAATCCTTCAATAACAAAATGAGGTTTAGTTGAACCCCTAACCTTCATTTACTATTAAATTTTCCTTAAGTTCGCCTCTTGTATATTGAGTTCTCTCTGCATCATGTTCTTCTTCTTCTTTTTAATTTATAGTGACCGACCAAATTTCAATCGTTTATTGCTCAAGTGGCATAGGATCAAAACCACTTCTTCTTAAAGTTTGTTTTAGTGCTCAGAGACCAAATGTGTACAAGGATCAGCAAGTGAAGACTCAAAAAGCAGAAGAAAACTAAACAATTGAATAAACGGAAAGTGATAAGAAGGTCATCACACCTCATGCAGTGCAGGAGCATCATTAGTTCCATCTCCAGTAACAGCAACGACTTCCCCTAGTTTACGCAGAGTTTGCACAAGCAAAAGCTTGTCACTTGGTGATGACCTTCCCATAACCTAGAAACCAGTTTTCTACTTTTAACAAGATGTGCCAACATACAAATGGAGATACAAGTAGATTAAATATATAAATCAGTTATTATCTCTTCATGGATAACATACCGACATTCTGTTTGCAACTTGTTCTCTCTCCTTCTCAGACAACTCACGGAAGGTTTTCCCCTCAATAACTTCAAATTCTGTGACTTCAGTATTTGAACTTAAAATTCCACACTCCAAGGCAATTGCTCTAGCTGTTTGAATATTATCTCCAGTTACCATCCGCACCTAAAGGTTCTCAAGAGTAAAGTTTTTGCTTATAAGAACAAATGCTTAAGCTAAATGCATTCCAGATCTCCTCAAATTAGAAGTCACGGTCATGTGGCTAAATGTGCACACCCAACCATGACATACTGTACTATATGCATCCTGAAATGGCTAATAATTGAAATATTTTAAACCATTCAAGACCTACCAAATTTCCAATAAATTACCTGTAAAGAGGAAGATAGATTTTGATAGAATAAACATAAAACATTAGTATACTTAACTGGTTCAAAGTGTTTGAAAATAGGTTCAATTAATTAAAAGAAAACACCTTGGACCAAGTAAAAGTCTTCTTGCTGACAAAGTAAGATACGATTATATAGTCGATCATTTCACCTTATTAGCTACTATTACATCCAAACAAAAAGATTACCTTAACACCAGAATCACTGCACTGTCTCACTGCATCTTTGACACCTGGACGACAAGGATCCTATGTAAAAAGGAAAATAAAGATGAATGAGAACATGCAAAACAACTCACGAAAAATTAAATACTGCACACAAATATGTATCATGTCAAATAGTTTTTTCATAAGGTGGTGTCTCAGACAGCTGGGCCATACACTCTATCCATCTCATTTTCCATATCAGTTTTAGTTTAGTTGTCCACGAAGATTAGAAGTCAATTTAATATATTATACTTTAACAGTATTACTCTATCAAATGCCTTGAGATCTATCTATTTATTTTTTTAGTTCTATTTTTCAATAGGATTTGACATCATTTAATCCTATGATAACTTCAATTAATGTTAACACATATGTTTTAAATAGAATATTTTTTTTGAACTGACGTTTTAAAAAGAATATTCAAACCATTTTCTCTTAAACCCCACGATAGTTGAGCCAGGTGAAACTTGAAAGAGGAGTAGGATGGTGGGAGTACCTGTGCTGCAGACATGAGATTGTGAAGTAATCAAAGGATATGGTAAGTATTTGTCATAAATTACAACTACCAGGTAGACAAACTTGAGATGAGAGAGGACACGAGCAGAACAATATTCAAGAGACTATATACACCTCAATTACACGACCTTACATAACATGCACCTTTATTTTATTTTGAGCTGCAAAAGTATGATTAAGAATATGTACCTTTATACCGAGTATAGCAAGCAAAATAAGGTCATCTTCTGGTAGAATCCATTGAGCCAGTTGTTCTTCATCAGTTGGAACCTCATTCACATTACAAGTTTGGTATGCAATGGCAACACACCTCAAACTTTTTGCTGCCATATCTTCAATGGCTTCTTTCAAAAAATCCTGCAGCCAACATAATTACTAAAAAGAGATGAAAGGATAAAGTCTGCACTAAAGTGTCCTTTTGTGATTCATAATTTTTCTCAAGTTTTTAATGGCCGGATTTAGGACAACATAATGTCAACAGAAAGTAGTCCTATCTCAATTTTATCAAAATTTTCTCTCTTAGAAAGTAGTCCTAACTTCTTCCAACCTTCTCCTTTTCAATGGATTGCAAGCAGCCATTTGAATCAAGGTATCCAGTACAAGATGCCAGTATAATTTCAGCTGCACCTTTCCAATGCATATGAACTTGAGAGCCACTCTGCAAAAGAAGAAAGAAAAATCATTAAATATGCGATTAATAACCTCATGCATGTGCAGATAATTAAAAAGTTCATCCACTCAAATATATAGATTAAAGGAAATCAGAAGTGTGCATCAACAGAAGAAACTATAATGTGAGCCATAAAGAAAACAAGAAAGAATGAACTTGAAAATCCAAAGAGGCCACAGCGCCTCTGCTAGCTCTTATCCTAGGAAGCCCTTATTTCATGAGATTATGTACCTGAATGTCATAGTCCAAAAACTAACTCTATGCTGATTTATCACCGGATAATCATACAATCAGGTGACACGAATGCTACAACGGATCCTAGGTCAGTCCGAAGGAATCACTAGCAGTGGGGCTTATTATATATATCATTTCTAGGAATTTTCTATTCTTAAACCCTGAGGACTGTTTGATACGATCTTTTGATATGAAACACAAGTAGATTATAACTTAGCCTACGACATCTCGCGAAGAGATAACTTGTTGCAGTACATCATCCCACAAACACTTACATGCAGACTACAACTTTGATTCTTGATTTTAGCACTTGAAGCCTCACAAGGTAGGTTTTAATTATTTAACTAGTTAGGAAAAGAAATATCACAATATGTTTCTCCATTAAACTACTTATGTGGAGCAATAAATCCCTCTAAATGGGCATAATTACGCATAATTTTAAATTAAAGAAACCTTGGCAAAGCGAACAGGACTATGAAGCAGCAAGCACTCGAATATCAGATAAGTCGATTACCTGCTCTCTAACTACAACACCTCCTCTCTTCTTTGTAGAATTAAAAGGAGAGACATGAAGAACTATGGATTGTGATCTGACAACATCGAACTTCATTCCAATCTGAGTAAATTGTGCATTAGTTGAATAAGCAGATTTTGTTGATTTATATCAGTAAACGGAAAAACAAGTTGTTAATACTACCTTGACGCCCCATGAAAGAATGGCTTTTTCAGTGGGAGAGCCTGAAACCTCTGTTCCCTTGCCATCCTACGAAGAGGGAACTGAGTCAAAAATAGAATGAACCAAAGGTAGTATATACATGCATGCCAAAGTAAACAAGAACATTGATTAGATAACAAAATAAAATTAGAAGTATTGAGCATGGTGAGGGAGGGAAAGATAAAGAGGTGCAAAGCAGTTGATCCAAATACTACTGTGAATGTGCAATTAGAAAGACAATGCATGTTTTTTCCTTTGAAGAGTTGATCTGTGGGGACTTATATTGAAGAGCATTTTGAGTAAATGTCATCTAAGAAGACTATTGCGAATTCTCATCTCAAACTTTATCATGAATGTCTGTCACCCTAAAGCCATCAAAATACATGGCACATGTATGAGGAGAGGCAGAGATAATTTAGGGAGCGACAAGGAAACAGGGTGAATACCTTAGAAGTAAAGACACTGCCAGATGTATTCTGAGTTATGCCCTCATCCAGAAGAGAAGAAACAGCTGAATGCAACTGTGAACCATCTTCAGGTGAGTCGAGCTTCTTTTTCCCGACATAGGCTTCTACGACTGTCATCTGCACAAACACGAGCATATAAGTCATCATATAATTTGTGAATCAGTGTAAATATGTAACTGAAGTTGTCAATTTAAGATCAAAAGCATGAACCAGCAGCGTAACCTGATTCAGAGTCAGTGTTCCAGTTTTATCACTACAAATAGTTGTAGCAGAGCCCATAGTTTCACAAGCTGAAAGTCTGCGCACCTGCAAATTAATCAAAGAAAACTATTTCATGCATGATTATCATAGTATCAACATCCTTATATATTTAACTAAATAATCAAACAGATATAGCAAAGGAGGAAAGACATATGTACCAAAGCCTTGTCAGCCATCATTTTCTTCATTGAGCATGCTAAACTGTCACAACATTTAGAGCAGGCAATGATTTAAGAGGATTATAAGGCACATGAAAATTAAGTCAACAGTGTCGAGTAAGAAGCACTTTTTTGATACTTACGTCAATGTAACAGCTAAAGGAAGACCTTCAGGGACAGCAACAACCACAATTGTGACCTGAAAATAACTTATTGCATTAGATAGATGACTCGAATTGTAGGTACTGAATCTGTCAGACACTTAATGTCTTCCATGAACAACAAAACATGGACTAATAGTTTTATACAAAAAATACAACCATTGATTATTGGAGACTGAAACAGAATCAAAGTATTAAATCATGTGGGCACTTTTAACAGATTGTTGAATCCATTTTGGATCATTTTTTTCCCTCTTTAAAATTTATCGACACTTAAGTTTGGCCATTGAACAATGTGGAGTCCAGTGTTATCAAAGGTGAAAAGCGCAAAAAAGCTCTAAGGTCTGATGGAGCTTTAAGCACAAAAAGTGTGGCTAAGAAAAGTGCAAAGGGACAAAATTTACAAATATATATGTTTACTCTAAGACTAATAATTATAAACATGTATGACAAATATATGACCATAGAAAATGAAAAAAACATTATGATAAAGTGAAATATCAATTGTTTACTATCACTTCTTCCGAAGAGGCTCACTGGCAAACTTTGTCTTAGAACCTTGATGACGATATTGAAGCGCATATAAAGCGAGTTGAAGCCCTCAACACGTTATGAGCCTCGCTTTAGGGCTTAAGTGCGCCTTTAAGAAACACTGGTGGAGTCTTAGAGTATATTGTCCAAAAAAGGGGACCATTTTAAATACACATTGTTTAGGAACACATCTCATCCTTTCTCTTTGTTTTTTGGGCAATACAAGTCTATGCAGGAAAGTTTACTTAAAAATCTCAAAACTCCACTTTGTGGGCCTCATTGAGAAAATGTAGAAGAAAGGATAGAACATTTATAACAAAGAATAAATACAATTTATATACTACGTTAAGTTCTAATTATATGCATACACAAAGGGGATATAGAGAACTCGTATAGCTGACCACAACTAGTTTAGGGTTCAAGCGTGTAGTCGATTGATTAATATATGACAAGACTCCACTTCTACACTCATTGATAGGTTATAAATGCATGTTACTTTTTTTGAGAACTAAAAAAAAAAAGGGCCCTCTGTTGTGTGTCTGTTCAATCTAACCCAGATATCTCACTAGAATCTTATCTTCCATGTCAATAATCCTGATTGGACATGACAAATAGCTTTCTGAACTACATACAGAACCTAAGAGCAGTGAAAATCAATAGAAAAAGGCTTTATCGATTCTTAGGTAGTGGACCTAAAATTTGCAACTCCACTGGTGTCCATTGGAATCCATAATATTTATAGTGCCTAAAGGGCAAAGCCTGTTCGATAAAACTTAAAAACATTGATCAGCAAGAACTTACAGCTGCAGTGATGATATGTACAACTCCATCCATTGTTTTACCAACACTGGTCTGTCCATGAACAAACTGGGTAGTCCCATCTGGATTTTTGCTATGCCCAGTGAAGAACCTGGGGGACAGAATATTTAAGTCATATGCAATATTTAGCATGAAACCATACAGAGAAGCTTTGGAAGGGAGCAAAATTTTCACCTGCTCAAAAGAACAATGAGCACAAAGAGAGCAACAGCAAGGCCAACAATGCCGATAAAGGTGGCAACCCCATTCAAACGCACCTGCCATATTGTAATTGAAAAGCTAAACACAGAATGGATATAACAAGTAGAGAAACTGATGATGATGGACAGCACATTCTAATATAACCTGCAAAGGAGTTTCTTCACCAGTATCCTCTGATATACTCGCCATCAACAATCCCCATTCAGTATTGATTCCTACACCAGTTACCTAAATAAAAATATATGTTTAAGAAGATAAAGATGAGGGAGCTTTGTTTTTAATATAGAACAGGAGACGGTCTTTCAATATGAGATGTTTGGATAAAATTTAGCTGAAGTTGAAACAAAAAGAGTAATTATACATGTTTGTACATGAATTTCACTTGGAAAAGAAAGTTGAAGTTTTGTGAGTGGACTATTATTTCATTTGAAATACATCAAATCAGTTTTCCAACTTATATTATCTATTTCAAGAAATATTGAATCGAATTGTAAGACAAACATCGGTTTGTAAATAATAATTTGTGTTTTAGTTTGGATAATGAAATAAAATTTATGGCCAAATGGGAAACAATGTCTAAAATTTCATCTGCTCCAAATAGAAATTAGCTCTTAAATCCTCAAAGGGATTGGGGAGATCGGAATAAAAGAAACAAAGAAAGAAATAAGATGATCTTACAAGCATGGTTCCAGCACCATCTGCTACCTTGCAACCAGCCATCAAGAAAGGTGCCTTTTGATTTTTGTTTACCTTTAAAAATGATATGATATTTAAGATCATTTGGATCAATGAGCTTACACATACTATGCATGAAGGTCAAACCAACTTACAATCTTGCTTTCACCAGTCATGCTAGACTCATCAATTGCCAGAGAATGACCAGAGATCAAGACTCCATCTGCAGGAACCTGAAAGAATACCAAAGCTTTATCTCTTTGATCAGAAAATGACTAGAGAAGAGGCAGAAAAATCTACATAGCCATCTTTACCTGATCGCCTATCCTGAGAGGAACAAAATCACCAACAACAATTTCGTATATTGAAATTTTATCCCTTCTGCCGTCTCTTATAACCTTTATAGATCATTTTGAAGCAGTTAATTTTTCATGTATACGATAAGGATCGTAATTAATATAATTGTCACGGGGCTATGGTTCATAAACTGCAATTACCTCTACTTGGATATTTCGTTTTTCTTCATTTAAGTTCTGAAATCGCAAGGACTGTCTGTAGTCACTTGTTGCTAAATGAAAATTTACAAAACAAAATTAATTAAATCAAAGATGTAGTAGTAAATAAGGATTGGTAGGGAATAATGCCCCCGCCCCCCACCACATGGGTTCTATCAATGAACTATACACCTCAATCACGAAATATACAAACAAACCCAGAAAACAAGATGGGAGCTTGCAAATCCACTCTGAAAAGCTAGGACAAGTTAATTTATGAAGAAAAAAAAGGCACGAGGAGAACTACATAAATTGAACTCTCCTTTCAAAGAAAAAGGAAAGAAAGCTACATTATGATGATCAATTAGCAGGATTGCAACTCATGAATTGTTAAATTGCAATACTCACATAACACACCTCACCCCAGAAATTCAAGACTAGGAATAATAAACAGCTACCCTTTTTGTTACCAAGAAAGAAGAGAAGAAGATTGATTTGATAATAGAGTAAACATAATTAAACTTCAGAACAAAATAAGTGAATAGCTCTTGAAGAATATTAAAGAACCTTTTTCATTGTAAAGAGAAACAGAATAATCAATTTATTTGATAGGAAGGAAAATGCGTGTAAGAATGCAACTTGTTATCTGGAGAACTAAAGCTACTATTAGCAAACAGAAGAAAGAAACTATATTTTAGCAACCGAAATATTAATTGAATATGATTAATAATCTGCTACATGAATCTGATAAGGCTTGACCAAGCTAAACACGTGAATAGAGAGAGAGAGAGAGAGAGAGAGAGAGAGAAGAAAGTATAAATAGCAAATTAAGCTGCAGCTATGAGTTTTATCAGTTTCCTGAAATTCTGAGAGGTTGATATCTTTAGTCTGATTCTATTAGTTTCATGGTTTTCTTGAATGTTAATGAATATTCTTCAATTTGTTCCAGTAGTCAATACAAATTTAGTAACCTGGGATTGACAAAAGAGAAAGCAGCCAAGCCATTGTAGAGTTTAATGAATTCTATAACTCCATTCACTTGGATTAGAAGTAGTAGACAAACAAGAAGCAAAGTAATTACCTGTTACAAAATAGCAGGTAGAATTTAATGACTTATAAAATCCATTCACTTGGATAAGAAGAAGTAGACAAACAAGAACCATAGAAATTACCTGTTACAAAAATAACAAGAAGTACGGCAAAAGTTATGCTTCCACCATCATACCATCCTTCTTTCAGGCCCTGTATAAATAATCATGAATGGAACTTTTAGTAACAATCATCATTAAATATAACATCATCTTCTGATTTCCTAAAATAATCAAGGACCATCATTAATTTTCCATTCTATACATGCTTCTGTTTGGTAAAGAAATGGACATGAACCTAACTTAATCTGCCCAAGACCATATAAGGAGTCCAAGTACTTATCTCACAAACAATGTGGGATTCAACACCATCACCACCCCTCGCACGCTCAATACTGGACATATCTGCTTTATTTTTTCCTAAAATGAGGTCTATACTGGTTGATAGACGTCAAATTGACAACTCGGAAATATCCAGATATTTCGCACTTCCCAATAAAAGGTTAAAGATAGGCTATAGGGGGGAAAAAGATAGAAAAATGCAGAGTTTTTAACATCAAATAGAAGAACCTATAATATAAAGAGCAAAGTACCTTTGTGTGTATTCCAAGTGCCAGTGATAGTACAGCAGCTACAATTAAGATGATGAGAGTCAGATCTTGCCAAGCCTCCCAAAGGAATCTCTACAAAGAATAAAGATAATAGTTACATCTCACTTCTCCTTACAGAAATCAGTTCAACAAGACAACTTGGGAGAAACTAATACCAAGTAACTGCGACCCTTTTTCATGGGATACGTATTTGCCCCAAATACATTTTTTCTTTTTGACAATTCAATATCATCATCAGCAATTCCTGAATCAACATCTGTTTTCAACTTCTCTGATAAGCCTTTGGCCTGAAGATGTCAACATCAATATCAGAATGCCGATATAGATGAGTCCCTACTAGTAGCATGGTTTTATGTAAGATAACTAAAACTCAGTGAAGTTAACTTACTCCTCCGTATTGTTGCAGTGCAGAAAGATTGTGATCCCTAGTCACTGAAGCTAGCTGTTCAAGTGAAATTCCATAGTCACCACGAGGAGGTAGAGGAGCAACTTCGGTACCCAACACTAGAAAATAGAACAGATACCAAAAACAAAGCAAATGACAGAGTTTAAGGTACGTTGTTACTTGTACGAATAGTTCGTATCTAAGCGACCTACAGTTAAAGACAGAGACGTAAAGTTAACTATATCCTTAAATTCATTTGATGTTCAAGATATTGAAACTTCGGCTAGCACTTTGTCTGTCTACCATAAAATTAGCTTGAGGCAGCTTGGCTACCCTGTATGTGCTTCCAAAAGAAGTGTGAAACAATAGAACATAGTAGATCAAAATTATCATTTTTTTTTCCTTGTTTACTTCAACAAAGAATAGAATTATGGGCTCAGAAGATAGATTTCTTGATTAACAAATCTAGCAACCATGAGACAAAATGACTGCGCTAACTTCAGTTTTGCACCAAACAGGTCGAATGTGATGAAAATATTTACCTAGAAAAGAAGAAGACTTTTACAAGTAAACGATCTCGGTTGTTAGAAGAAAAGAGGATGAGGGGGTGAGACAGGCAGAGAGTTGGCAAGCAATGAGTTAAGAAATAAAGCAGCTACGTTTACAGATGTATCAATCAAAAGAAAAAAAGAGTTGAGAATTTTTCATGTGATGGATGCTTTTCTGGGAATGTATATTGTCCATTTAATAGTATACATTCAATCCGAAATGTCAGTGATGCATGAGCACCAGTTATTTTACCAGTGTTATGCAAGGGAAGCGGCAATATTTGGTAGATATTGAAGATAAAGCATTAGTTGAAAAGGATTTGCAAAGTATATACCAATAGCTCGTTGTCCAGCAAGTTTAAAAAGTAGTGCGGCCTACAAAAGCAAAGCAGGGATGGTGAGATATTCATTAAATCAATCAAAAGAAGAGGGTAGAAATGAATTTGATCATTACTCTTATGACTTGAGCATGTGCTCTGATCATCCTTCTTCTTTGTTCTTTCTCTTGGGCTTTTCTCAAGTCGAGAGTATACCTAAATCGGCGTGAAGCATTAAGCACAAGTGCAGCTTCCTGTGAGTGATGAGAAAGATGTTAGGATATTAATGCGTGAATAGAGAAAAATGTACTAGTTTAACGCAAATTATGATATGAGATGGAGATGATCAACTGTGTCAACACATGAAAATGAAAATGAAAATTTCAATTACCCTCCAGCGTTTAAGAGCGTGGAAAGATACATTCTTGGTATTGGGAATGTGGAAAAGATCAGAGAAGTGGTGTTGGGGAGAAGAGTTGAGATGGGAGGAGCCGGCTTCCAGGTCCATGGTTGGAGCAGTCGTCAGATGCCACCACTCTCAGATATATATAGTAAATGAGAGAGAGAGATACATACATCCTTTGTATTTGTAGTGAGAGGAGGAAGAGCCAAAAATCATGTAATATGAGGTCGAGCGACTATACAGGGAAACCACAAACCTTGATTTGGGGTTTTGCCCAAAAACCGTTTTCTATTTCAGGGTTTTCGCGCAAAGGATGGGTTTTTTGCTTTACCACCATCACTTCATGTGATGCTCACACCAACATTCTCCTATCAAAATTAATACATTAATTTCTTTCATAAAATTTCATTAATAGTTTAATAGGAAACTTTTTTTTTTATCATTAATTTATTTCTTTATTCATTTGCACCACATACCATTGTATGCTAGCTAGTTTGAGATATAATATTTTGATAAATATAGCTGGTAAATGGCTTAGTTAGCTGCATTTTTCTTGTAATGTAGATGTAGTAGTTAAGTCTCTGTATAAATAATAATGCATTTTGGCTTAGCAATTGTGTCTCTCACATCAACACTATTTCAGATTTACATTTAGACCTTATTTTGTGAAATCTCATCATCAACCATTTATATGTATGTATTTTTCGGAGAGAACTTTAGACAAAAAGTTCCATGCATATAATGACATTCAAATGTTTCTTTTCACATATATATACATATATGGATGTCATTGTTGAAACAAAAGTGTTACATACATTACAGCGAATTAAGCATTCATGTATTTTGGGCTCTGTCAACAAGAAAAAGTCTTTCAACTTATTCATACCATAATGTGACATGACTTCCATCATCATCCTTCTGCTGCTATAAATAGAATATCAGAAAACTACTGTAACTAATCTTGTACCAGCTTCACGCCGTTGAAGTCTGCAATATAAAAGTATTAACACATGTACTAAGAAACAATATTATGGTCCAATCACCTCACTTTTGTAATCATGAACAGAATCAACAACCTGCAGTGTCAATAATATATTTCGCTAATTAATCGACCAGATTAGTAAAGAAGATTATTTTTCAAAAACTTTTTTTTTATTAATGGCAATGGCATTAGAATGAATTAATGATGTTACCTGATTTGCATTATCGGCAAGTAAGTGAATGTAGAGCTTCAGCGAGAATAACTCGACAAGCTTTAGGGAAAGAAGAAGAAAATTGCACCTTACAGCTGTTGTGACGGCTCTCTGGCTATATATTAGGAATAATGGAATTTAAAGTGTGTAAATTCTATATATATATATATATAAATACTAGTTGTCGTCGTCGTCCATTCTATTGTATATCATAGACAAAGGACATTGGTGAGCTATTCTTTCGCTCTTTTTACTACACCAACCAACAAATCATTTTTTATGAGATCGAATCGTATGGTTTAGAAAAATAAACCATACATACCATAATCATATCCTTTAAATTGTCTAATCATTGAACTTCTACCCGAGACATGTTGTAACTATATATTGTGTCGCAGAAGTATCACATTCACAAATACACATACGTATAAGAGATAACTAACTCCCTGTCAGAGTAGCAAGTTTCTCATCTAGCCCAAAAATGCAGAGCTGGCAGCCAAAAGGAAAAAGGTACACCCCAATTTAAGAGGCGAACCTAAATTTGCTATGCTACATACAGTTACTACTGCTCCATGTTAGAGCATTATCTTTTATAAACTACAAAGTATAGCAATACATCCACCCAATCTGGAATTAACAGAGTAGTGCACATCCTTCCTTCACCTCATAGGAGAGAGGCTAGTTAGCACTTTCTTGGTGAGTGGATCCCATTATAATTAATCATTAATGATGAACTCGAAATCGACCTTCTTTCCTGGTTCGCAACTGCCTATCTGATTCTTCGCTTCCACCTGACCTTCCAGAACTCACTGCCCGATCATTCCGAGTAACAATTTTTATGGGGTGCGCTTCTGTATTGAAAACCCACTCATCAAGGGAGATAACTGATGATGGAGAGAAAAGAAGATACAGATATTTAAGAGTCTCCGCAAGAAAGAAGCTTTGCATCATATTGTCTTTGACACCAGTGTTTACCTGGGGAAAACCGGCAAAAATGTGTTAAAACAATGATATCACCCTAATGATTGCAAGCACAAAACCCTGAGTTCAAGAGGTTCTCAATGACTTTTGATTGCTGACCATGAAGTCACTTCGTCGTGATATAAGTTGGCAATTGTACATGCTAAAGTTAGTTGCAACAATTTAATAACATCCTCAGAAACTAAACACCTTGTATGTCCAAAACCCTCCACTTCATTTTTATCTGCACAGTTTCCTTCATAACTGGAAAAAAAAACATTGATCTACAAGGAATGGGGTCAAGTTCTAGCTGTGCCTGGACAAATTTAGCTTCAAATAGGAGAGGATGCAACGAAAATACTGAGATCATCTATGAAATATAGTAGCTTTGAATTTGAGCTTCAAGTGGGAGAAGATAAAGATCAGAGGCAGCAAGAAAACAAAACGGAGTTCTAATGTTGCTCTTTGCTCATAATTTTACAATTGTGGATGGTGGACTGGCAAACATAGACCTTTTCAATAAATCAAATTTGAGTTGCTCAATAAATCAAATTTGAAGCCTGCATGTGATTAAAGTACAGTAGAAGTCGGATAATTTGTAAAAAAAAAAAAAAAGACCAAGTTCAGAGGCGAGCTGGTGTTTACAAAAGAATAGAATCAACTAGGTGCACCAGGTTTCTATCAAAGAATACAACATAGCCAATAATCCCACAAGTGGGTTCACTATCAAAAGATAGCATAAAAAACCACATGCACGTATGTTCATCTCAATCATCAATATTAAAATCCAATAGAAATAATGTATTTAATGAGGGGAGACAAGTTTTTGCAGAGAACACGAGAAATAGCAGCAGTTTCTTAATGTCCAGAAACAGAATAAAAAATGCACCTAAAAGAATTGAGTTTGAGCTTACATCTTTAAGTCCAACATATCCAGACTCTACCCTTGAGTTCTTTTCAAATGCTTGAAATATGTTCCAACCCCACTCTTGGTATGTCTTGTTTCCTGTTAAACGCCAGAGGTAAAACAGTGACTCAACTGTCTCTGGCCTTAATATGTTCCATGATGTGCCCACACTCATATCCTGAAGATTATTAAACAGGATGAACAATTGAAGTAATAACTTATCAGTTATCACCATTAGCAAACAACAAAAACAAATATCATCCTGAACTAAAACTGAAAACACTGACTTGGCCGTCATTAAAAAAATAGTTCTCTCCTGCCAATTTTGTAGGTGTTGACTGGTAAAAGTTATAGCAAGTCCAAGCAAGCTGCAAGAGAACATTAGGATATTCAGCTAAATAGAAAGGAATACTAGAACTTTCTGGCCAAAGGAAACAGCACTGCAGTCATTAAAAGCTCCTATATAGATTGAGCCCACCGATACTCTGGGCATTCCTATGATGTGAAAGGCAAGTTATATCATAGAAAGCAAGCACACTTAAGAGTCACTAACGTTTTGATCTTATCACGTACTTACCCTTCAGCATCCCCAGCTAAATATAACAGTCAATGGAAGTGAACATCCGGTGGTATGTGAGCATTGCCCAGAGCCCACCATAGCTAATGCTCAAAGTTGAACTAAAACGTAAAGCTTTATCAACAGAGATCACCTCTCAAATCAATTAATCAATTACTAAACCTCAAACACAAACTAGTTCTTTTGAGAACGTTAACTTGTATATTACTACAAAAGAAATAAACAGCAGTAGGGCCGTGCCAAGCCATATTTACAAGAAATCAAACCCAAACTAGTAAGAGTTGACTATGTGAATCCTCTGTATCCATTCCAATGATAAATAGGGTTCACTAAACCTAGATGTGCTCTAGGTGATGCTCTGTAAGTTAACAATACCTCCTCAGCCAGTGATAAGAACTTCTGAGCCTCATCAGGGCTATAACCAGATGATCCTAAAGCTAACATTCCAGGAGCAAAGCATGCAAGTTCATCCATCTGCACAAAATCCAACGGGTAAATAGAAGTATAAAACAGAGTCAAGAACTTAACACATCTCAGTCTCCCCAAATATATGCAAAAGCATGTACATCACCTTGTCATTTACAGAACTTCCCATCTTCTCACCAAGATACGCAAAAGACGAAGGGGTCGTCCTCCGGACCAAGCTTTGAAGACCTTTCATTGATGTCTCCCACATTTTCCTGTTTGCAGAATTAGTGGAAGAATCATATTGAGGAACACAGAGGAATGAAAACTTTGTAGAAGAAATATAAGAAAGTTAAACAAAATCATATGAACCAGTATCAAATAATAAAATAAAATCATTTCATATTTCAAAACATATCAAGTTCTCAGAAAGGCTGAATTTTTTTTAATAAAGGACTCAGAAAGGCTGAATTTTTTTTAATAAAGGACTCAGAAAGGCTAATATGCATCAAACATTATTCTTTTCCGCATCAGAGGTCCCCCTTTGTTCAAGCTAAGCATTTATGATAGCACAATCTTCTCACTATAACCAATTTCATCTTCTGCATCCCAGCACCAGAAAAAGATAGGATAAAGGAAAGACCAACCACCTAAAAACAAATTTCAGTAGTAACTAGTACTCAAAGCTCTTCACATTAGACACTTCAAGTTCAAACTCCCGTGAAATTTACTTAAAACTTCCAATCAAACGAAGAGTCTAAGCAGCATAACAAAGTTTAATACCTCAGCTGCCTCACTTTGACTACTGTAATGTGCTTGGGAAGGAACTCAATAAAATGTTTTTGAAGCTTGCAACCAATAAATAAATACATGTGAAAAAAAAGTATAAATCTGTGAAAGATCAAAACATTAAATGTAAAGCATCAAGATAAATTTTTTAAGCACTGTTACAATAGGTGAAGCCAAGCTCTTCAAGCGGTAGCTTTGACATCAAGTGAAAAGATCAGTTTTAGGAGAGTGATACAAAACTCGTACTCCCTCCGTTTCAATTTGGTTGTTTGGTTTTGACTTGGCATGATATTGAAGAAAGTAAAGAAGACTTTTTGAATCTTGTGGTGTTAAACTAAAGATATGTAGCATATATCAAAATGTTCATTAATCTTGTGGTCTTTAAGCATTCTTTTTTTCTTTCTGGAAATTGGTAACTTAAAGAGGCATTCTTTTCAGAGCGGACTAAAAAGGAAAGTAAGACAAACAAATTGAAAAGAAGGGAGCGGTAACTTTAATAACTAAAGTTATAATGATACGTATTTTGAGGCCATTGCTGGATAAAACATTCTAATCCCCGGTTATCCAATGTGCTTCCATCTTAATCTTGTAGAGCGATAGAAAAAACATTAATCATTTATTCAGGTCTGACTGAAATATCATCAAAAGTCACTGCTAGCTTCAATTTAGATGTATTTGCTGCTGTACTCAAGTACGATATCATGTAATCACAACAATTATGTGGACTACTTGGAGAGAGAAATAAGAGAACTTTAATATAGAGAAGGACTATGTACATGAAAGGAAAAGCTTTATATCCCTGATTTCCTTTTGGTGCACCCATGAGATCCCTGTATGTAAAGAAACTGGATGCCGTTTCATATCTTTTTGTAAGATTTTCTACTATTTGGTATACTCCTGGTATGCAGATGTTTAATGCCATTGTATTATAAAATTTTATTGCTTGATCAACAAAAAAGAAAAAGAAACCGTGCATTCACAGAGATATCATATTTCATTTCTTTCAGTTTTAAATCCTAGCTACAAATTTTCTTGGGTTTCTTGCTCTTGGCTTTCCTACTTGAAAATCTTAAATGCTCCAAATATGTTAACATTGTCACAGAATATTTTATGCATTTGCACAACGCATGATCAAAGATTTGATTTCAAACTGATGCTAAGTATTGAAACAGTAATATATGCACTTACACCTACAGGAACCATGAAGTGAAATACCGAATGCACTGAATTGAAAGCTTTAAAAGAACAACAATATATGAAGTGAAAATAGAGAGAAGTAAACTTAAGCTGCTTACCTATAATGACTCACAGCAGCAGTTCTGTTTCCTTGTATCCAGACCTTGAGTAAATATTCATAAAAGCTGAAACAAAAAATTATTATATTAACTTTTTTATGAAAAGAAAACATGGAGGATCTAAATGTCACTTCACAAATGTATAACGAAGGTTCTCCCCCATTTTATTTTTTTATTTTGGGGAGAAATACTCCTAATCAATCAGGTTTTCACTGGGATCATTCTGAAATGGACAAACAAAGGTCATTTTACCTGTCACCCATAGCTCCAAATGTTATAGTTGAGTATGATGTTGTGCCTTTATGTGGATTAATGTATATCGGAAGCAAACCATCATCTGGAAAAGTTCTGTTAAGTTCTAAGATGACATTCTCCACCTGAAACAGGAATATACACCTTTCATCACTGTTGATTATATAATTATATAATAAAGTGTGCTTCCTAACAGCTTAAGTTGTTAGATGATATGGTCACACAATTCAATATTGTACCATAACAGGGGGAGATCTAAGATTGAATCTCGCCGTCACCCATTAGAAAAAAGAAATGCAACAGCTTGGACTATAAAAAAAAAGAGCCAAGCCGGCACATGAAGGGTAATGTTGAGAATATAATTAAATAATAACAGTGTGCTCTTTCTAAAAGCTTTTAGATGAGATGGTCACACAATTCAACAATCACCAAGAGGAGACTGTCCAACAATCTGTAGCTTAATCAGTTAACGTGGTAGCAATTTTCTATCATAGTTCTTTGAGAACATGAATTAATTTGTATTTTAAGAAATTCTCTCAAGCATACCTTTTGTTGATATTTTCGGTCTCCTGTCCTCTGTGAAAGAGCAATAAACTCAAGCTGCTCAGTACCAGAATCTGCCAGGATACTATCACCCTGAGAGCAAAGAGCGAAATAATTTCAAAAAAAAAAAAAAACTCACAAACCACCCTCTGGAAAAATACATGTTTCTGCAACTATAAGCAACATGTGACATCTCACTATAAGATAAGTCAATGTGCTTCGCACAAAGGGCAAGAATAAAGTTCTTAAAGAAAGAGGAGAGGTGAATGCAGGGAGAGAGTGGGAATACGAAGAGAAGCATACTAAATGTTCTTTGAGCATATTACAAGGGAACTACAAGAGATTCCTTCGTTCAGGCATCTCCCAATAGATAGATACTTTTCTCCTATGACGGGTTCCTTCCATGATCTTCACAGAACATAAGAATCCGGAAAACCAAATCTTGTAACTTGTCATACAGTAATAATCACGCCCACCCTCAAATCTATTTTTGGGAATAACTAATCCCTCAATCTTCTTGCCATAAGATATTGTCGTAATATCACAAGGGGAATGTAGGAGCAATATATTAAAAGTTAAAAAACTTACCCCTGTCCACCCAGGGTTATGTGGATTCCCATGAGCCAAGTTGATAATGTTGTAAGGGATGCCAGATTCGGTATTCCATGCAGGCAACAATCTGTCAGCAATGTCTTGAGCCTTATCAAGGAAAAGTTTATCACCAGATAGATCATACGTACTAAGAAGCCCACCTACAACCCTGAGTGGTTGAAAAACATAATTAACCAACCGAGACTCATAGTTCCATATTATTGGAACTGTGAAAGGATAAGGACAACTAATTAAAAACTCATAGTAAACCTTATAAAGCAACCTTATGGTTGTCTCAAAAACACTTGCATCATAGTTCTTGTTGAAATCCAAGGAGTTTGCAACCCATCTGTCATCAGAAAGTTATTAGCCACTGTTAGCCACATGGAATAGTTCAACACAACATAACCAGTGTGTTACGTGGAATAACTCATTGGAAACAATTTATAAATGGAAGTTTATATACCTTACATACTCCTAATATGCAAGACAATTCAAGAAATTATAGCAAGTACGCTTAAGGAAAATGGAAGTGATGAACTCTTCAAGATTTGGCAAAGGTCAAGATGCAAGGCATCAAATTCATAAATAAAAGGAAAAGCAAGCAAAACGAGGGAAAGGGGATGGAACAAGAAGGTAAATGGAAAATTGAGAACTCTTGATCAATTACAGATGCATTTAACTTTAAAATAGAGACGACATACAGTACCTTGCTTTTGACAATTTTCAATATATTTTAGTTCAACATTAACAATTTTCACGTATTTGGTGAATGCCAAAACACCAAATAAAACCTGCTTTTTAATTATTAATTAGGCCCTTCTAAGAAAAAAACAAAACGCGACGCCTTTGTCGCCTTGCCTCACCGCATCGCAACTCGCCTTTTGTCGCCTTCTTTATCTTGCCTTGCCTTGCCAGGAATAGGCGACAAGGCCTCGCCTTGCCTTGCCTCTCACCAAAGGTGATAAGGTGCTCGCCCTTCACAACACAGTTCTGGTCTGATGATAAAACAAGGACTACAAGTAATAGAGAGAAAATTATCCTGCTTGTATGTACAGCGGGGCGGTCGCAGTAGAAGATGATACCATTTTGGACAAGTAACTGATAGTCACAATTGTACAACCAAGAACAATGAAAAAATTACAATATTCTTAAATGAGGTGATACTGGTTCCTAGCTATATAGGAAAAGAAAGATGATTCTAGAGGAGACATGAGAACAAACTCACTTTCTAGCTCTCTGAAACTGCTCATCCAAGCCCATAATATATAGTGTGTCAAGAGAATCTATCAAGGTTGCTCCAAGACCACCAAAACTGTCAACACCATTCTTTGTTTGCGGCTGGCATTAAATATTTTCAGCATGTTAATTAAGTACTTTTACACAAGTGCAGTAAAGAAGTAGTGTAAGAAGTACGAAGCACATAGCAGAAACTAACTGCAGAATCAAGGCAAGTTTCCACTCCTAAATATATTCAATTACGAACAAAATAATAAGGATATGTCCAACAGATCTCACGCAATCATTTCCTTTCTGATTTTCAATAAATTATAGTTCATGATCAAGAAGAGAAAAAGGGAGACTAAACTATGATTGCATACAAGGTGATACTATTTCCTTCCATAGGTAAATATTTTTTTTGGTTAAATCATATCACCAAAGAAATTGCTGATTATGCAAATTACAAAAGTCAGTTGCATCTTAGACTTCAAAGGAAGTAAGAGAGGTATCTATTTTCATATACATATAGTTCTTTTACGAACAATAATTCATACACATATAGTTCTAAACAAAAGTAGCAGCAAAGCCAGGTAGAAAAAAATGTTTATCAATGTTCAAGTCTATCTTTTCATGAACAGCTAGATGACTTTATCGATAACAGACAGGTGCAGCATATCTTGTTACCTTTGTCAAAAAAAAAAAAAACAGACAGATAGGTGCAGCATAAAGCAGACCTCTTTTGAGAGATATAACTTCACAGTTGAGTGAGAAGTATGTGGGAAGAAAAATGGGTGATATTTGATTGCTTTATTTTGGGACCAGATGCATGGGCAGCATGAGGGGTATGTACTTTGGGACCTCACATTCAAGAGAAATCTACAAACCAGAGATGGAAGAGTATCAAAGGTTGCCGGAGCTACTTTACATTCAAATCAGGTTCAACCTTTTTTACTCATGAAGGTGGGCATTTGAGAAGCAATGGTATGTTCATGGTCAAATCTCTCCATCAGAGCTTGCTTCTGAAAAAGGAGACACTTTCCACATCTTTCAGTTTGGATTCATGGGGCGCCTAGAAAGGTGTTTTTCTTAATACAGATTGCAGTAAGGAGCTGATTCTAACAGCCAAAATTTGAGGAAGACAAATATCACTTGTGTTTGTTGGTGTTATATGTGCAAGTGATCAGGTGAAGAAGTTGATCATCTCTAGGTGCATTGTGAAGTCGCATTGAACTTGTGGAGGGTGGTCTTGAACTTATTGGTGTGCAATGGGTTATGTCAAGTATTGTTAGAAATGTGCTACACAGTTGGGCTGGAAGACGTAGACGTAGAAGACAAAAGGCATGGAATATTTCTCCACTAGACCTCATATAGGTCGTACGGAGAGAGAAATATGAGAGCTTTTGAGGGAATCAAAAATGATTTTGCACAGTTAAAGAATAGCCTTTTTTACTCTGACTGCTTTTTGGTGTACCCTATCTTTCCTACTTGTATAGAGGATTGGGTGGTTTCTCTACTTTTGGTATACCTGTTGTAAAGTCGGTACCTCTTATGGTACGGGGATCTGGAGAGATATAAGGAAACTGTGGGAAATATTCGTTAGTGATGCCTCACTTATGGTGGGAAATGGGGAACATATTCAGTTTTGGAAAGATATTTGGCTAGGAGACACTCCTCTAGTGAATGTTTTTCCAAACATTATCCAGATTGCATCTCATCCAGACTCAACCATCTTGCCGTACAGGGAAGACAATGTGTGGAATCTGATCCTAAGGAGAAATCTTAATGACTGGGAGTTGGAAGAGGTTTTTAGCCTTATGGCCACCATTCAGACTTGTGCAATCAACAGTCAACGCAGGGACAAACTTATCTGGAGACATAGCAGGGACGGATCCTACTCAGTTAAAGCATGCTACCTTCAACAAAGCTCCAAGAAGACCTTAATTGTTCAATAGCCATGGAAATTAATCTGGAGAACTAAGTTGCCACCTAAAGTTATTTGTTTCAGTTGGATTACTCTAAAAGACTCTTGCTTGACTCAGGATAATATCATGAGGAGGAAATTCCAAATAGTCAACAGATGTTACATGTGCTTGTGCAACTCAGAATCTATTAATCACTTGTTCCTTCATTGCACAGTTGCAACAGGCCTATGGAACATGTTCTTCTCACTTTCTGGACTCACTTGGGTCATGCCAAGATCATTGAGAAAGGCCTTTGTGTGTTGGAGTTCTTGGAAAGTTGGGAAGTCCATCAAGCGGATCTGGTCTTTGGTTCCAAGCCTGTATTTTGTGGTGCTTATGGACGGAGAGGAACAAAAGATGTTTTGATGGCACCCAACTCCCATCTCTACCGTTAAAGCAAGATGTTTGATTACTCTTTTTGGCTGGGTTAATCTCTCTCCTGTACTTAGTGTCGATTCTTACCTAGAATTTATCAGCTCCATAGATCTCTGCTGTTAGCTGTTTACATAGCTTTTTTGGCCTTTTTGGGAGCTGATATTTCTTTCTTTTGTAATCTGTGCATCTGCTTGATGCTTTGTTAATGACATTCTTCTTACTTCATCAAAAAAAAAAAAAGGTATACCTGTTGTATGCAGAAATTTTTCTGCCCACTATAAATAACAGTATTAAACTTGCCAAAAAAAAATTGTTAATAAGTAAAGGTCATTTTGGTAAGTTCTACATACTCATATTGCGTGTAAAAAGTCTTCCCTGATTTCATAAATTTTGTGCCCAGCAGTCGCACAAAATGGGATGGAATGAGAAAAAACATAATAGATACAAAAAACTAAATCTGTATGATAGTAGGAACGTTAGAGAATCGCTACTGTTAGAAAGTCTCAAATTATCAAAGGTTAGAGAATCGCTACTGTTAGGAAGTGTAAGGAGCCCAAATAGAGCAAAGCATATCATGATAATTCATATATTTAAGGTGTAGTTGTGCTTTCGTAAGCTAACCTACAGAACATTGTAATTGAAAAACAAGGAGTCACACAATTATCTAGTCAACAAAAGGTATAGCACTTTGGAAGCTCACATAACATTAAAAGAAGAAGTAATGAAAAATGTGAGAAATATAAGAAAAGAATATTGAATTGTTGTTGTATTTACATTATTACATTGAGACCCTATTTATAAACACTAGAATATAATCCTTCACCAAGTAGGATACTATTTACTGTTCCCATTTCTATCTGTACTCATATTCTAAATATGATTGTATAAAGCTATCCCTATTCTAATAGGATTGTATAAACATATTCATGTTCTAACAATCTCCCTCAAGCTAGTGCATACAATTCATGTACCTAGCTTGTTACAAATGTAATTAAATACGAGGACCGATGAGAGGCTTGGTGAGATCTCTGCAAGTTGATCAGTCGACTTCACAAAATTAACAGTCAATCTCAATGTGCTTAATCTTCTCATGAATTTGATGCATAATGCCGATAAAATACAGAGTGATAAAATTGTAGTATTGAACTTCCCAAACCAAACTAGCAAAGACTATTTCAGACCATAGCGTGACTCACATAATCGACAAACAAGGCTACTAAACTCCCCCCCCCAAGCAACAAGGTGCTCAAAACATATTATAAAGTATATGGATCATGATGAAATCAGTAGACGAGTTGATATTAGACAAGAAAGTCACTAAAAAATTGGCCAAAACATGCTCATAAGCCGGAGTACTGGATTTGATAGCTAAAATTTGTCACAATCTAAGAAATAAAATTATATGAGTAGGGTCGGAACAATGTCACGACCCAACTAGAAAATACAAATTATCTAGGATAGTTTGAATTGACGGAACGACCCTATTGAAAAAGAGAAATAATATGGGTAGTAGGGTTGTGTATTGGCCGGTTCGGTTCGATTTTGAAGTTTATCGGGTTCGCTTATTGGTTATCAGTTTGTAAAGATACTAAACCGTTATAGAACCATTAAGATGTTGGCTTATCAATTATTGGTTTATCAATTTTTTATAGTTATCGATTTAACCGTTAAAATTTGACACAAAAGAAAATACATTAAAAATCACTTAGAAACAAGGTGACAAATCAAATAAATATGCACTTGAATTCACAAGTTACGTCTTGCTCAAAAGCAAACACTTTTATATTGTAGAATAATCAAGTGTTTGAGAAAATCAAAAATAAAAATAGGACATTAAACTCTAAGTCGAGGACTATATACACAAAATGGTATAAATATAATTATTTAATTTACTATCAGGTTATCGGTTAACCTGTTAAGAAAAAACTTTAACCCGTTAAGAACCGATAACCCAATAACATAAAAGATCAAAACCGTTATCAAAACCACTAAACAAATAACCCAATACTATAAACAAATAACTTTTTTATCGGTTCGGCTTATCGGTTTAAGTTCGGTTTTGAACAGCCCTAATGGGTAGGGTAGGAATGATGGCACGACCCTACTGAAAAAGAAAAATTATACAGGTAGTGTTGGAATAATGGAACAACCCTACCAAAACAAATTTGAGGAGTCACCGAAGACAAATGGAACTATGCAAATCAAATCTGAGAAGTCACTGAAAATACACATGATACTATGCAACTCAGATATGGGAAAATAGTTTGGAAAAATCCAGGATACTACACAAATTAAATATGAAAAGTAGTCCAAAGAGATGCATGGTGCTACGCAAATCAAATATGCAAAAAAAGGTAGTCATCGGTGCTACACAAATTATATATGAAAAAGTAGTCACCGAAAAGATGGCACAGTGCTACCCAAACCATATATGAAAAAATAGTCACCGAAAAGATCCCACGGTGCTACACAAGTTAAATATGAAAAAGTAGTCAGTCGAATGATGGGCGATGCTACACAAATTAAATATGAAAAAGTAGTCGCCGAAATGATGGCACGGTGCTACACAAATTAGATATAAGAAAGTAGTCACTGAAATAATGGCACGGTGCTGCACAAATTAGATATGAGAAAATAGTCACATGAAAGATAACAATGACCCAACTTTTGCTAACATAATTGTTAGCCAGACGGGCGGCATATATAAGTAAGTAATAGCCGCTCGCCGGCAGTGGAAGCTCTTTGATTTTCTATCAAGATCGTAGAGGCTTTGATACCATGTGAGAAATATAAGAAAAGAATATCATTGAATTGTTGTTGTGACTACACTATTACATTAAGGCCCTATTTATAGACATTAGAATACAATCCTTTAACAAGTAGGATATTATAGACTATTTACTATTTCTATTTCTATTTGAATTCCTATTCCTATTGGACCTATTCTAAATATGATTGTATAAACTTATTCCTATTCTAATAGAATTGTATAAACGTATTCATGTTCTAGCAGAAAACATCAATCAATAGCTATAGTGTTTAAGAATTTCCTTTTTTAGACTGGCACATAGGGAGAGCATAGTGCAACGGCTACCTTTTTTTACGCCTCCAATGATCTGATAATGAAATCACAATATGCAACAAAACAAAGGCAACATTAACAACTTAAAAAATAACTTATTAGAAGTGACATCCAAACCTGTAGTTCATCATGGCCCCATGCATATTTTTCGTAAGAGCTCCAAGCATGAAGCATAGCATCTTTTACTCTCTCTCTTCGCTGAGCATCGAGGATATTATCTGGTGAGTCCATATTCTTCACCGCCTGACCACCTTCACCACTATATTTCTTTTTTGAAATTGATATGTCTCCACCATTCTTCAATTCTTCCAGCTAAAAAGTATCCAGAATAAATACAAACAAGTTGAGTGTATAAAATTAAAAGCATGAAGGCTTCACTGCAAATAATAGAAGATAGACTGAGAAGCAAGTATACATGAAAATAACACTGGCATAACTGGCTATATTTTTGATATTGAGATGTAACTAGTTATCTTCGGTCTTTGTATTTCTTTTTCCAGAAAATGTAAACCGAACCATTAAACTTTTAGACAAAACAAGAAGCAGAAGAAAAGAAGTACATTGCACATAGATATTTTTGTAAAGTTGCATTGAACACAGACACACATATGTGTGTTATGTGTGAGTGTTATTCTGGAACATCATTTTAAGTCGTTGGTGTTGGTAGTCTTAAGTCTTCTTGCATACTGCTCCAGTGCTCCTCAAAGCCAAAGAGAAAGCCACTCCCCATTCGTCTAGACCGTTTTTCCACCCAATGTCATACTTCCCTTTTAATGCCAAGGGAATAGCAAAAAAGGCACAGATTTGTGAAGCACCTTAGGAAAGTTGCAATAGCTCGACTCAAACTCACATCCATCATATCTTGCTTGGTCAGTACCTCATCTACAAATCTTTTCATCCTGCTTAGAGCTCAGTGAATGTATCACCTTCTTTAGACTAATTTACTTGATTTGCTTTTCTGTTTTTTTTTAATAACGATTTGCTTTTCTGTTTTCTGGATCCTAACTCTATTTTTTCTGCTTTTGTTCATTTCCTATAATATCTAAACTTGGTGGGATGGTCCTAAGCTTTAGTCACAATGTTTTAAGTTCCAAGCCAATTCAGAGGTAGTACAACGACCATAATATCTAAACTTGGTGGGATGGTCCTAAGCTTTAGTGACAATGTTTTAAATTCCAAGCCAATTCAGAGGTAGTACAACGATCATCTTCACTAAGCCAACCAAATTAAGTGGGGCACTGGAAGTACAGCTCTGAACGAACTTAATCAAATTGAGGAATTAAGTTCAGTGAAAAGGTGGTAGACGGACACTCTTCACTAAGCAAACCAAATTCAGACTTCATAACCAAACTGGTCATATAAATTCCTCTAGGCATTCATATTTTCCTACATTAACACAGATGTTAAATCTATCACGAAAGTTTATCCGACTATTCCATTATAAGTAGTTAAACCAGATTCTCAACCACGTTCAATTTGAAGAAGGAAGCACAGGAGGTAGCTCGTGTAATTGCAGCTTGTATTGGCATGTATTAACAGACGCTGTATGATACCAATTCCCAACAAGGCATGAAGAAGGAAGGCAGCCACAAAAGAACCAAAATAGTAGGCTGATTATTTAACTTTAAAATTCCACAGCTACAGAAAACTCAGCTAAAAAAGATAAAACTACTTACCAGATTCCGCAAGTGTATCACTTCTTCATTCAACTTAGAGATCTCTTCCTGAAAAAGAAAAAAAAGGTTCTGGTCACTTCACCGAAAGAATTATTTTCAGAATGTTCAAGAAAAAGCGTAGACATATTGTGACTCATATCCTGACAGCTGCTCACTTGGGCCCCCAACAGAGTGGGAGTGGGAAAATGGCAATCAAGAGAACTTCTTAAATATCCAGGCAATAAGTCGACCAATACAACAGAATGGCGGTAGAGGCTAACTTCTTCTTTGGTTCCTTTTAGCAGATTTTTAAAGTAATAAAAGATTAACATTCAGAGAGGTTAAAACAAGCAAATAAAGAAGAATGGGAAAGGGTTGAAAAAAAAAAATAGGCCCACTGAACTCATCTCCAGCAGCTCATTTAGAAACTTGAAATTGCCTAGATCACATTTATCCAACACTGATCTTCAATAATCAGCGAAGATCTCTATTTCTGTTTTCCAAGGAATGTGAAAACTAATCAAATCAGAAGAAACAATGTGTGCCTCTAAACTCTGGCAACTTAACATCCAGAGTACATGAAAATGAGAAACCTAGTGATGAGTTCCCTTTTAACCACCAACTCAATCAAAGCATCAACAGAATCTGAAAGACAGACACATGAGGGAGTTGCTAAAGACTTGTGATACCTGCTGCGTCTTTTCCGTATTAACAACAAGAAGCAATCACAATCTCAATCTCAGGAATCCCAAATAGGGAGGGGGAAAGGGAAAATAAAAACGTAAAACAGATAAAAGAATATGTCAACGTAATAGATGTTTTGATGGGGACATCGACTCCCATTCATTGCTAATGGTGAATTTTAAACCGCATAATATAATTCTTAGCATGGATGCCAAAATCTGCAATTACATAATTTTATCATAACTAACTAAAGATGGGTTATTTAGAGATTGTTGAACCAAAATTAAAGATGATTGAAAAAATTAAAACTAAGAGGAACCTCGTGATCACGGAGTAAAGTTTGTCGATCCCAAAAGAAGAAGGTTGCAAAAACGAAAACAATGAAGAGCAAGGCAAGGCGCTTAGGTCGTTTCAAATAGTAAGCCGGATTTATGTAACGCCATACAGTGGAAGACGATCTACTCCTCGCCATTCCACAGTGCAGATCGAATCGAATCGATTGGGTTTTGGGGAGGGAAAAGACGAACCAACAACAAGACCGAGTCAGTCACTGGACTTGTACGGAATAATAAATATGAACACCAAAACTCTCACCTAATCACTACAAAGATTATCCAAACAAAGCCTCTTTAACAACTTACGCTCTTTTGGTACAAAGACATCATATACTCAAACAATATTTAGCCGAGATTTAAATTTTATCTATTATATTTTGTATTTATTTGCTTAGAGTTATATTATGATATTATTTCATTATAATACATAAAATTTATATAAAAACAAATTGATACAGCTCATACCACTAGTTTTGAAAATAAACTATTGACTCGTTTGGCATGGACGGAGCTAATAAGCTTGCATAATGGGTTTTGTCTATTAATAAATTTATTAAATATGCATAATTATTAAATTTAAAATTCAATTATTATCATTTAAAAATAATTGACACCTTCAAAAATTTCTAACATCGTCTTTGACATTTGATGATTAATCAAACTTAGTGCTCAAAAATCGTACTTTCATAAAAAAAAAAATTAGAAGTGTATTATTGAAATATTTTATTAGAAATTATGGTGTTCATGAGTTCATTTAAATATATTAATAAAATATGGTGATAAATTTTACGGAGCTAGTTACGTATTAGGTATAATTAATTTGTCTATTATTACTCCATTTGTATACCTGTGGCTAGTGGTTTACATAGATTGAATTGGTTTGGGCTTTTAAAATATTAAATTAAATTATTTTTGTTAAAAAATTTAAATTTATAAACTAAATTAAAGTTATATAACTCAATCTTTTTTCAAATACCAAGGACCATTTGTGTTGAATTTTTTAATTTCTAAATCAAACCTCAATTTTTTTGATTTTTTTTCCGATAAAGTATTCATATAGACATATAACTAACTTGTGTTTTGAACTTTTTGTTTAGTTCAATCAACATATAACTTTATAACTCACTCTTACGAAATTAATACAAAATATAAGATGAGAGATGAAGCTAAAATATTCAACAAAAAATAATAATAAATTATATAAAATAAATATTGTAAATTGATAAGTCATAATAAGAATGATAATAATTTAAAAGTATTGAATCATGCTAAATAAGTATTAATTACAAGATTAAACATTAAATAAAAATTAAAACTTGATTATGTATTTTAAATGTCCAAAGTAATAAAAAATTATAGAACAAATATTCAACATTATTGTTATTCTTAGTATTGACTTAACTTGTTTTGTTAGCATTAGTGTTGATTTGATTTTGAATTAAGCTTTATTAAAATTTATAATATCTATGGACTATAGTCAAATGTATAATCAATTTTTTTTTAATTTAATTTGACTTAAATCATTTGTTATTTATTTAATTCACTTAAACAAACTCGTACTATTTGAACACATATACCCTCTTGAATTTACTTTACGAACACGTGGCATAAAAAATTGAAATACACACCTTTTTGAGCGTGTGAAATTAATATATTAAGTATTAACGTTTTCCTTTTCTTTTTATTTTTTTAAAAATAACAATCTTTTTCTCTTTCAATAGGGTCCGGTCCGGCTGCCACCATTTTTTTTTACAAATGTACTATTAATTTTTTAGATGTAGAATCAACTCCTAATTATTTTTGGCCAAAAAGAACGGAGATTGCCGAAAAATAGAGATCTTCATATATGTCTTTTTTATCGAAAAAAAACCAATTTACATTTCTTTGCCTAAAAAATGAAGATCATTACAAATATTTTCAAAAAAGCACTATCGATTTAAATGGAAATAAAAAAGAAGGCATAGAGAAACAAAAATAGTAAATTCATACTTACAATACGTATCCCATTTTTCTATATTGAGAAGTAACAATGGTGGAAGGAAAACTATTTGGTCCAGAGAAGAAAGGGAGAGGTTGGGGTGCGGGGAGGGGTGTACACTTTATTTATTTTTAAGTTGAAATTCTTTTATTTTAGATTTAAATTTATTTATATTTAAAATTTATTTTTATAAGTTAAAATGTCATATGTCTTTATTTGATTTGTTATTTCAATTACATACACTTTAAAAAAATATTTGATAAGTATTTATTTTTTAAGATTTGAATGTCAAAGAATTGACATAATTTAAACTATTAAACAACTTTGACTTAATTATCGACTAGCTTTGGCATAGGTTTTTAGTTTCCAAAGAAAGACCCGTATAGAATGCTTATGAGACTTTTCGATTTAATAGTAATAAAGAATTTTCAATTGAATAAGTTTAATTTTGGGAGCAGATGAAGTAATTACAGTTGAAAATTGAAATTAGAAAAAAAATAAACTAGTATAAATTTAATTGGTTAATGCTCGCAAATTCCATATTCATGTATTTTGAATTGTCTACTTAGAAGTGTAAACTAAATCTCTTATTTCTTTCCTAGTCACTTTCAAGTTTCAACAAACAAAGAAAAATGAGAAGAATAACAAAGAAACAAAACTTGCATTAATTTACACAATAACATTTCTATATTAGGCAGAAAAAACTATGAGCTCATAACAACTTTAGTTTAGTTCTCCACATCTCTCCAATGACCTTCCTTGGTGATGGATCATCTGGTCCTTTGTCTCTTTGTCCTGATGTGAAGTACAACCACCCGTTCCAGAATCCAACAAGTGTTGTTTTTACACGGTAAGGAAGTTTGCCTAAAACTTTCCATGTCTGCATTGGATCAAAAACCACAAGGTAGTAAAGAATCAACAAGACAAAAACAACTATCTTATATTACCTCCACTTTTGACCAGACAAAATTATAATAGGGCAAAGAAATGTGGAATTGGAAGCCACATTCAGGCATATCTTTGATGAGCAAGTCTATCATGAGGAAAGAAAGGGCTAAAGGATGAATTTTTACTGCTGCACCACATTTTGAACAGTTGCCCTCCAAATAGACCCCTATAGAAGACTGGTGGGGTAGCTACTAACAAGATCCTTATAACACACTCTAGATCCTTTGTGTACCTTTTCTGAAGAGTGAACCATAAGTTGAATTGAAAGGATAAGCCTAAGCAAATCATTCAGTTTGATGAATCTACTAAGCTAAAAACTGATGGAAGCGCCAGGTTACAAGTCAGCACTAAATCTAAGAAAAAGTGAACACTATTAGTTTGTTGAAGATAAGAAACAATACCTGTGTATCGAATTGAAATTGGAGGATTTCTCCAACAAGGGTCATCTTTTTGGTATTTGGGTGCTTCTCAGTAGTTCCTCCAACAATCACAAGAGACCTATTGACAATAGCCCAAGCAAACTCTATATGGGAATCTGGCTTTGGCATGGGAGTTAACACTTTCCATGTCATATCGTCATCTAACATGTAAACATCATCATATACGACCTGTAAAGTCAGGCTTCATAGTCATATTAAGCCAAAACTACATTAAAGTAAAACATACACATTCTCGACCCCTACATCAGCTCCAATTCTCAGTATGTTGGGAGTATGGAACTTAATCTGCTTTTATTTTTTGAGAAAGGCAACATTCGTATGTATTGACAAAAACCAGTACTTGTGTTGTACTGGAAACCATAATAATAACTTATCAGCGAAACAGGATATCTGAATCAAATTCTAAATAGAGCCAAGGATCTCAATAATTGACTCAGTGTCCTCTAAGAACATCTCTTTACACCAAAAATAAAAAAGTTTGATACAGTTCAATTTGATCTTCTGAAGATCACAACTTTTGCTACAGTTCAACTTTTGAACTTAATCTGCTTTTATCAATCCCCAAAAATTCTTCCAGTTTTCATCTATTGGCTAATACTGTTTTTCAATTTGCAAAGGGATCTGGATAGTAGAGAACAAAGATGAGAATGATTATATCAACTAGAAATCAATAATATCCCTCAAATGTATAGCAGACCAAAGAACCAACTAGCCAAGAATGTCTTCTTTATTTCAGTAAAAGTTTTCCCAATAAGGCAAAAATGACCTTCCATTTGGCAAATTTCATCTAATGGTACAACTTGTTGACACCCAAAATGAGAAAAACATGCTCGCCAAATTTTTTTCACACAAAAAAAATCAAATCCCATAAAAGGAGTTATCAATGTCCAAAGCTTAATTGAAACACAAAGTTTTAAAATTCAATAACCAATACGTTTTACAGATTGGTTGAAGAGGAACAAGAGATACTTTGAAGGTCAAGAAAAAAATTTCTTTTTTTATAAAAATAAGATGCCTACAGAACTAATAGTTTTGGTGTACATATAAAATAAGTCTCAGTATTTTGATTTTCAGGAAATTTTGGGGATATAACTGGAACAGCAATGCTGTGTTCCTTGTTTATATTTTTATAGTACATCCTTGGTAATTTCTTAATGAAATATTCTTAACTCATACAAAACAGCCAAGTCACAGTTCAATTACCTCATTTCTACGTGAGCATTTGAAAATAGGTGATCCAGGTTTAGCCATAAAATCACCCTCTTGACCACCAAAGACATAAAGTCGGTCATCAAACACAACACAGGCCCTGCGTGAAAGTTCAAGCAAGATCCAGTTACTTCTACATCTCCATGTGAGAAATAAAAAATCCTATTCCTATTCCTCTTCTAACAGACCCCAGCACAGATAATTTTCCCCTCCTCTGCCTTAACGATTTGTAGACATCTATTCCTGCTCAAAGCACAAAAAGGGTATCTCACAAGCATCTAACAATAACCAGGCAAGAGCAGCTAGATACACGAAAGAGTTCTCCAGAATACCAGACTATTTTATAGTTTTATACCAATTCCAATAAAGAAGCATCATTCAGTTAAAACTGAAAGCATAAGCTGGAGAACAAAAACAACACAAACTATCAACATCACAATGGGCACAATATCTCCCTCAATATATCCCATGTTATCCCACAAGTAACTGCACTCTTGTGGATTTCAAATCAACTAAGCAGAGAAACCATCACTTAACTGCCAAAGTTCTCATCACCTTACAAAGATAAAAGATTACTATAGTAGGAAAAACTCATTCTCATTGTTGATTTTGAGCTCCTAGAACCCAGTTACTATTCATTAGATGCTCTATGCTGAAAAACTATATTATCCAAAGTATTGTTTTTTTCAGG